AGTTGGCCAATTACTATAGTTTGGCAATTTAGGCAGCCAGCTGTTTTAAGCCCCAATTATATCATGAGCTTTGCAAATAAATGTATAATTTAACTTGCCTTTGCTGGAACATTGCTACTTTATTAATCCCACAATACAAAGATTAGCTCTTTTACAATATCATTATCTACAGATCCCATTATTATTTTTTTTGTACCACTCATAATGCTTTCTCATCTGTTCATAATGTGTGTATACATCCTGAGAAAGAATTTGTTACAGGTAGTCCTCAATTTAGAACCACAAGTGAGCCCAACATTTCTGTTACTAGGCAAGGAGATTGTTAAGTAAGTTTTGTCCCGTTTTACTTTTTTTTTTTGGCCACAATTGTTAATCGAATTACTGCCGTTCTTAAGTGAATCATGCAGTCATTAACCAAATCTGGTTTTCCCCACTGACTTTGCTTTTCAAAAGCCAGCTGGGAAGGTCACAAATGGTGATCATAGGATGTGCAACTATCATAACTACATGCCAGTTGCCATGTGCCCCAATCTTTTTTTTTTTAAGAAAAAACTTTTTTATTTTATGAACCAACAAATATACAATATATAATCAATCATTCATTGTATTGTCTAAGTACATCTTTTCATTTCATTTAATGTAACATTTCCCTCACATTTACTTATCTGTTAATACATTTATCTGTCTCTCCGTTTTATATCCTAACCCAACCTTCAACTCCCCCTCCCCACCCCCCACCCCTGACTTCCCAGAGCAAAAACAGGGTATAACATTTAACAAACATATGCTAAAATATTCTAACTTACTGCAAGATTCAAAACTCCCTCACACACTTTAACTCCCTTTTTACAAATTATTCATCAACCTTCCTTTTATAAATTCTGAAAATCAATTAAATTCTTTCTTCCTAAGTATAAAAGCCTTTTTCTTAGCATGTAATCCAATAACTTTTAGAATTTTAGAAACATTAACAAACACTGATAAATTTCATTCAAACCCTCAAACACCATTCTTTTTCAACATTTAAAATGCTAAAATCTCATATTAAACGTTCTAAAAATCTCTAATCCAATGCCCCAATCTTGATTATGTGACTTTGGGTTGCTGCAATGGTCCTGAGCGTGAAAATGGGTCATAAGTCTCTTTCAGTGTCCTTGTAATTTCAAACGGCCATTAAACAAATGGTTGTAAGTTGAGACTACCTGTACTATTGTCTATTCTACTAGGCCAGGGGTGTGAAATTCAAGGCCCGTGGGCCGGATTAGGCCCACCCTGGAAACAGCAAAGAACTGTGGTGCTTCTGCCAGTGAAAACAGAGCTTGGGAGGGCCATGCGTGGCCCGCCCGCACTCCGATTTTGGCCGTGACAACCTCCTGCACCCCTCTTGTCAACAAAAATGGAGCTCGGGGAGGCCATATGTGGCCTGCCCGGCCTTCATTTTCAGCTGCGACAGCCTCCTGCAGCCCTCTGCCAGTAAAAACAGAGCCCAGGTGGGCCGTGCACAGCCTCCCCGATCTCCGTTTTTGCTAGCAGAAGGCTGCAGGAGGCTGTCATGGCCAAAAACGGAGTCTTGATGAGTGTTGTCGAGTTGGCCAGCCCCCCTCCCCAATGAAATCAAGTTTGACACCCCTATACTAGGCAGCAGCTTCCCATCTGACTTATTTTTAAAAGTACCCTCCGAAGGATAGCGAGAGAAGTTTGATGATCTGAACGTTAATGATTTTTTCATTTCTAGTTTAAGGAAAAGTAAAGTCTTCCTAGAATCAAAGCCAACTTTATTGATAAGTCTTTGTAGCTTTCTTGGCAACCATTTAGAAATGGCTTTTAAAAATCCCTTTTTCTGGGATGGTTTTTGATTTCCTGGTTTAGCCTGCAGTCATGGAATTCCTGTCTGGCATTCGGCTCTGGTCCCTGCACAGCTCTTTAGCCCCACCAGATGGCTCTACCATCTGCGGAGATTAGAACGTGCTACAGCTTCCGCATTTCCTCACTGAAAACAAGTCATTAATGAATAATATGATGCAAGCACGTGGTGTTTCATCCCTTGTTTTGGAGAGACAGTTCATCTTAAGGCCAATCTTGGCTGCAAGACAGGTTTTCCACATTCTTGTTCAAGGTCCCAGTCATTAATCTACTAATTCAATTGTTTTTTTTTTAGGATATACAACATACAGAAGAATTTCTTATCAAGCCTGAATCAAGAGTGGCCCAGCTGGATACATCACAATGGCCTTTGCTTCTCAAAGTAAGATAGTTATACCAGTGGAATAGGTTAGTTTAATGTCAGTGTGACATATTTTGTGCAGTCACAAGATAATTTACAATTCAAAAAACAAATCTCTTCATTTTTTAAGAGTAAATTTTAGGTATTGCTGTTTTTATGGAGCTGACAGTGCATATTATACTCCAAAGAATTTATGTAGGAGGGAGATAGGTTTCAGAGCAAGGCAATTTGCTGAGGCATTTTACCAAGTGAGATCAGATGTATAACATCTAATAAATACTTTTGAGATATAGCCCAAAATACGTATTTCCTTATAAACTAAATATAATTTTGCTTTATTTTGGGGTTTGCAGAATTTTGACAAGTTAAATGTGAGGACTGCGCACTACACCCCACTTCCTTCTGGCTGCAATCCCTTAAAAAGGGAAATTGCTGAGTATGTAAGGTAAGATTGTGTTACACAATATAAAATCATCTTTTCTTCCACCCTATCACCAAGACGGTTTCTTCGGCAACTTTTCTTACGGAATTTCAGAATCACAAAAGACTATTATCTTCTGCCCTTGGGTTTTCGGTACACCTATTTTTACGCATGAGTTTCTGTTTTAATAGTTACTCAGTACTGCCATTTCTTTATAACAGTTGACAGTTTGGCAGAGAATAACCTATCCATTGTTGCGGCACACAATGTGTAGTAAATCATCTGCTAAGGAAAAGTAAAAACAAAAGGGAGTCTAGTTTAATATTTTACAGATAAATGTTCATTGCGACTTAAAGTTACAGTGAACCCTGTAATGTGCTTGAAATCTTTTTTGGGGGGAAGCATGGATGCCGTCAAATCTATCTTAACACCTGGTAATTGCCTAGATTAGTCCCTGCAGTTTTCTTGATACAGGATTCCAAAAGTGGTTTGCCATTGCCTCCTTCCTAGGGCTGAGAGAATGGGACTGGCCCAAGGTCACCCATCTGGCTTCTTGCCTAAGGTGGGACTAGAATTCACAGTCTCCCAGTTGCTAACCTTATACTTTAAACATGTTGTTAAGTTGATTTTTTTTTTTTTAACCTGTAAAGCTTCTCGTTTAAGTCACTACCTTAAATCTAATCGCTGGTTTTTGTCCTAGGACGGGCTTCATCAATCTGGATAAGCCTTCCAACCCTTCTTCCCATGAGGTTGTGGCCTGGATCCGCCGCATTCTCCGTGTTGAGAAGACAGGCCATAGCGGCACATTGGACCCCAAAGTTACTGGGTGCCTGATTGTGTGCATCGAGCGAGCGACACGTTTGGTCAAGTCTCAGCAAAGCGCAGGTATATCATCTGCTTTAGTGTCTCTAGTCAAGAAAGAGAGAGCCTTCACCCTCGTGATGGAACAGTAAAATTCAAGTGGCCCCTCCTTACTACTCTTCTGTCATCTTCCAGGCAAAGAGTATGTGGGAATCGTTCGGCTGCACAATGCAATTGAGAGTGAAATGCAACTTTCAAGGGTAAGTTTTGGCCAGTCAGGAAGTGAAACTTTCACCTTGTCGTCTTTTATGCCTAGCTATGAAAGGGAACGTCAATTACACCAGCAAACCATGGTTTGGACTTAGGGATAGAAAAAAGATAAAGGTTCCCCTCGCACATATGTGCTAGTCGTTCCCAACTCTAGGGGAGCGGTGCTCATCTCCGTTTCAAAGCCGAAGAGCCAGCGCTGTCTGAAGACGTCTCCGTGGTCATGTGACCGGCACGACTCAACGCCAGAGGCGCACGGAATGCTGTTACCTTCCCACCAAAGGGGGTCCCTATTTTTCTATTTGCATTTTTTACATGCTTTCGAACTGCTAGGTTGGCAGAAGCTGGGACAAGTAACAGGAGCTCACTCCGTTATGCGGCACTAGGGATTCGAACTGCCGACCTTTCTGATCGACAAGCTTAGCGTTTTAGCCACTCAGCCCTTAACGATGCTGAGAATGCGGCTTTAGTTTTGATGGCCATTTCAACATCTGCAGGCTTAAAATAGCCACTCTGTCCAAGTTTGATGTTAATTTGATGTTTCCCTGAACCAGTTGAGGCTGTAGTTAAAATTCCTCTTATCATTGCTTCTGAGCTGCTTGACATAATGCTATTTTATTTTTTTTTCTTTCTGTAGGCAATAGAAACTTTGACAGGTGCCCTCTTTCAGAGACCTCCCCTCATCGCTGCAGTGAAGAGGCAGCTGAGAGTCCGAACGATTTATGAAAGCAAACTGGTTGAATACGATCCAGAAAGAAGACTGGGTAATGGCACCCTTTTTTTCCCCACTCAGGGAGGGCAGGAGGGTTGGCCATTCTGGGACCCCGGCTAAAAATAAAAGCCCCATTTCTGTCCCTTCCTGCAGCTCTTTCCCTGCAGCTTAGCCTTCTATGGCTGTTTTTGCAGTAGTTTTGCAGTCCCTCCTGCCATTAGCATTTTCTGAGCCAAATGATGTAGAAATGATGACATAGCCCATCGTGCAAAGATGACATTTCATCTATCACCCAATTCTGATGGCTTGGATTGAAAAGAGTCTGCTCGTATTCTTACTGACAATTCTTATCTTTGGCATCAGTGTGGTTTTCCCCCCCCCCCTCTCTCTGCCCCTCTTCCAGGTATTTTCTGGGTCAGCTGTGAAGCCGGAACCTACATCCGGACACTTTGCGTGCATCTGGGTTTGTTGCTGGGAGTTGGCGGTCAAATGCAGGAGCTCCGACGAGTCCGCTCTGGGGTCATGGGAGAGAAGGTAGGTCAAGGATGTAACCTTTCAAGCAAGTGGCTTTATCTACCCAAAGAGTTGAGTTCAGTTCAGGGTTCTCTCCCCTGCACTGGTAATTAAACTTTGGAACAGTAAATAGTTGGGGGATTGTTGGGGTAGAAAGTTTAGCTTTTCTGCCAGTCCACCTCTCTCTCAACCCACAATATTATATAGCATCCAATTGAGATGAATTACTGTATTTTTCGGACTATAAGACACTCCGGTGTATAAGACACACATTAGTGTTTGGGGAGGAAAACAAGGAAAAAAAATTCTGTCTCTGCCTTACCAGCATCCATTGGTATTCATCTGGCTAGCGTCCTTGCAGCAAACAGCCTGGTTAGTTTCAACACGTTATTGCAGCCTGATTCAGCACGAGCAGCTGATTGGCGGTTGGATCGGCCTCCTGGAGTACCGCCAATCAGCTGTTCCAGGCTGCGGGATCGCCACAGCCCATTGCTGCCTCCGTGTGTTGCGTTTTTGGCCTCCGCGTGTTGCATTTTCAGCTGGTTCCAGGTGGGGATTGCTGCTGATTTCTGCCGCCTGGAACTGGCTGAAAATGCAACGTGTGGAGGCCAAAAACGGGACACGCGAAGGTTAAAAATTATTTATTGGTTTGATTTATATGCTGTCCTTCTCCGGAGACTCAGGGCGGCTTACAATGCGTTAAGCAACAGCCTTCATACTTTTGTATATACCTTCTTAGTAGGGCTTTCGGGGGCCTCCAAGCAGTGTTCTTTTTTTATACAAAGTCAGCTTATTGCCCCCACAATCCGGGTCCTCATTTAACCTACCTCGGAAGGATGGAAGCTGAGTAAACCTTGAGCCTGGTGAGATTTGAACTCGCAGTAATTGCAGGCAGCTGACAGCTAAGAGCTACTTAACAACACTTTAGTCCGCAGCACCACCAAGGCAAAAATGCAACACACAGAGGCCAAAACCATGACGTGCGGAGGCAATAACTGGTGGCGATGTGCTGTGGCCCGCAGCCTGGAACAGGTCTAAAATGGAGTGTGCGGAGGCAAAAAACGTGATGCACGGAGGCCAAAAATGGCCGAAGGGTGGGGGCCAGCAGGTGGACAGGGTTCAGCAACATTCGGTGTATAAGTCGCACCATACTTTTCACCCACTTTTAGGGAGGAGGAAGTGCGTCTTATACTCCGAAAAGTGTGGTAGATCAGGGGTGTTGAACTCAATTTCATTGTGCGCCGCACCAAGGCTATGGTTGATGGGGGGGGGGTGGACTGGGTGTGGCCAGCTTGACATAACTCCCCAAACTGCTGGCATGTTTCCTTTTCATATTGGGTAGACCAGGCCGAAGCGACGCTGGCCAGCCCCTTAACATTTTCCAGGATGGCATAGACTGGATCCGGCCCATGAGCTTTGAGTTTGTCACCCCTGAATTAGATAGAATTACAGAGTCCCAAACAAAAAACATGAAGTTAGGACTTTTCCTCCCTTATTAGTTATTTTATCCCGTAGTAGTTTTTAACCTTTGTTTTAAAAACGTTTACAGTGTTGTGTAGCTATTAAGATGGAAAGGATCCATGTTAAAAAGAGAACGGAATTTCAGCTTCCTCTCACGAATAATTCAGTCGATTTTAACTTCTCTAAAGTTGCTAGAAAGACTTCTATTAACCGAGGACTGGTGGGGGAATCTCCTTCTAGGATCACATGGTGACCATGCACGACGTGTTAGATGCTCAGTGGCAGTACGACAACAACAAGGATGAGACTTATCTCCGGAGGGTGATCTTCCCTTTGGAGAAGTTGTTGGTGTCACACAAGCGGCTTGTTATGAAGGACAGCGCGGTAAGTGCCCTCTGATGGCTTGGAACTCTATAGTCACTTTGGCTCAGCCTGGTCTACCTTTCCAGGGTGGGTTGCTTAAAAGGTAGAGGAAAGGTGTCAGACTCAAGGCCCAGGGACCGGATCTGGCCCACAGGGCCACCCTGGAAACGGCAAAGGACCGGCCCGAAAACAGGGCTGTGTACGGCCCTCCCGAGCTCTATTTTCACTGGCAGAGGATTGCAGGAGGTCATTGTAGCTAAAAACAGCTCGGGAAGCTGTAAGATGTAAATCCAGAACATAAATAAATAATTGGTGCCTGGGGTTGCTTCCAGGCCAGAGATGGAATCAGTATATATATATTTTTTACAGATGACTTGATTTCCCGGGTCGCTTAAATCTGAAATAAGTTCAAATTTGTATATGTAAATTGGCATCTTAAGGAAGCTGGGAATTCTTTGCTGCAACAGGCCTTTTTTATTTTTTATTTTTTCAATTTCTCCAACATACCGTATTTTTCGGAGTATAAGACGCACCTACCTTTTTTGGTGAGGAAAAGAAGAAAAAGAAATCTCTCTCTGCCTCTAAGCAATTTTGCCTCATTGCAGCAAACAGCCTGCTTTACTTTTTGTTTTAAGCATAGCTTGATTAGCACAAGGGGGAAAAAATCTGCTCCAGCAATTTACCTCTTTGCAGCAAGCAGCAGAGCCTCACGCAAAACAGCTGAGAGTCGGGAGGCCAATCCAATCAACTTGTGCTAATTAGGCTGTGCTGAAGCTGAAAGGAGCTGTTTTCTCTTGCTGTTGCTTGCAAGGAGTAAACTGCTGTGAGGCAGAGGCCAAAGGGTGGGGGCCAGTGGGTGGGCGGAGCTACATTCGGTGTGTAAGATGCACCTAAATTTTCACCCCCTTTTAGGGGGAAAAAGTGCGTCTTATACTCCGAAAAATATGGTAGGTTTTATTGTCACTTTTTTCTTTGAACACACTGGCACACATTAAAAAATGAAATTCTGAAGCCTGCTCTCAAAAGAAATTATTCCTCAGTGCTACTTGCGCACAATGTTCAAAGCTATGAAAGGCAAGCGGCGTTGTACGTTTGCAAGACTTCGAAATCAAAAGGAGCAGTTCCAGCTGAAATGTAGAATTCCCTGCTAAGCTAGTCACTGCTTTTCATTCAGGTGAACGCGATTTGCTACGGTGCAAAGATTATGCTTCCTGGATTACTGCGGTATGACGATGGGATCGAAGTCAACCAGGAAATAGTCGTGATCACCACAAAAGGGGAGGCAATCTGCATAGGTAAGAAATGGGAAGGAAGTTTATTGTCTGCAGCTAAAAGTCTGTAGAGATTCTCAGTCATCCAGGTCATCCCAAAAGTGCTTTTTCAGGAGGCAACTGGACTTACTTTCTTTTCTTTTTTTTCTGTTGAAGACATTTCCCTTCTCATCCAAGAAGCTTCTTCAGCTCTTACTTGGATGGTGGGGAATGGAAGGATTTATATTCCTTGTAGACAGCTGGTCTTTTGCATCCTTTTAGAGAGTCGTTGAGGTGACCCTGAGGACGCAGATAAACCCCCAAGAGGCCTCAATGACTCTCTAAAAGGATGCAAATGACCAGCTGTCTGCAAGGAATATAAATCCTTCCATTCCCCACCATCTAGTTAGAGCTGAAGAAGCTTCTTGGATGAGAAGCGAAACGTCTTCAAAAGAAAAAAACAAGTCCAGTTGTATCCTGAAAAAACACTTTTGGGATTGTCTGCAGCTGCTCTTCTAATGACTTTTTCAAAATCATTTCTTCTAGAAGCCTGTGGAGTTTCTTTTTATGCTACCAGAATAACTGATTATGAGCAGTATCCTATAAGACCTGTTAGCAATGCAATAAATTACAGTGAACTAGTGACAAATAATTGCTCTATTGTGGGGTTTAAATTACTTAATTTCTTTTACTATATGCTACTTTGAAGTTCCCTGGTAGATATGTGATTAAATCTCTAAAAAGTATATTAACTTTGGAGAGCCAGCTTGGTTTGGTGATTAAGGTATCAGGCTAGAAAATGGACAAGTAGGAGTTGTAGTTCCGCCTTAGGCACAAAACCAGTTGGATGTTCTTGGGCCAGTCACACTCTCAGCCCTAGGAGAGAGGCAATGGCAAACAACTTCAGAAAAACCATGCCAAGAAAACTGCGGGAACATGTCATGGCAATCTCCAAGAATTGAGCATGATAGAACGGGGGTGGGGGGATCTTGTGTTTGTCTGCTTTTGGATGTAAAAATGCAATCACGGAGATCATGTAAAATGATGCTATAAATTTTATTCGCTAGGCTTTTGTTCTGGACAAAGTAAATGTGTTTCTGATGCCATGGCACAAGAGGGAAACTGCAGGATTTAAGGATTGGGAAGAGCTGCTTTTCCAGAGATCAGAAATGAGGTTCTGCTCTCTCTCTCTCTTTTTTTTTCCTTTTGATTCTCACAAGACAGGTCCCTATAACTGTGGCACAGCTTTGTGTGTCCTTGCCCATCTTTCAAATGTGTTCTTGGCATCCACCTGCATTTGCTGGGGGCCATATGTGAAGTGATGATGAAGTTTATCCATTCTCTGAGTGCAGCTTGCTTTGCCCTTCCTGTCGCGTTGAGACTTCAGTTCTGCAGCCTCGACGTTCCGTGGCTTCTAAACACCTTCCAGGCTCCCAGTGTTCTACTGGAAGTTGTGGGGATGTTTGACTAGCTGCTGACTGGAACTGGGCAAAGGAAGCAGAGCCAGACCCCCTTTCCTGTGGGGCCTGACTCAACCAAGAAGAATGAAACTTGTCTGATCACATTTTGCTCTGATGCAATGCTTTCTACAAAGACACATCCAAAGTGCAGAAATACAGGAAAAAAAGATATAAAATCCTCCTGTACAGGTAGTCCTTGACTTATGAACACAATTGAGTCCAAAATTTCTGTTGCCAAGAGAGACTTCCTGAGTTTTGCGCCATTTTATGACTTTTCTTGCCACAGTTAAGTGAATCGGGTGAAATCCAGCAGGTTCTGACAGGTTCTGGAAAACCGGTAGCAGAAATTTTGAGTAGTTCGGAGAACCGGCCGATACCACCTCTGGCTGGCCCCAGAGTGGGGAGGGAATGGAGATTTTGCAGTATCCTTCCCCTGCCACGCCCACCAAGCCACGCCCACAGAACCTGTAGTAAAAAAAAATTGGATTTCACCACTGAAGTGAATCGCTTAAATTGTTAAATTAGTAACATGGTTGTTAAGTGAATCCAGCTTCCCCATTGTCTTTGCTTGTCAGAAAGTTGGGTCAAATGACTCTTGGGACACTGCCAAGCATTTTAATTTCGGTCATGTGACTGGGGATGCGGTAACAGTCGTAAGTGTGATA